CGGGTTCTCCATAACAACAGAACACTCCGTCGTGCAAAAGAGCTCCAATTCGGCGGGAACATAATTTAGCGGTGCCGAAGCACACACAATTAAAAATCCACAACTTTGGGTTGTGACATTAAGTAGTTCCGGAAAAACTGAGCGCTAAGCAAAACAGTGTTAAGTGAAACCAATTTTCCCGTAGGAATGAATGTAAATAGAGATAATTTGTTCCTGAAGCTCCTCACTCATACTCTAAAATCACTTAAATCCCTCACTAGTGCAATAAAATCAATACATTTAGACGTCTAAATGTATGTAAATACTTTCTTTAACTTTGTAATAATGTATAAAATTACAAAATAAAGTAATGAACTGTATGCACAGATGCACTTTCACTTTTTGCTCTCTTGGCTTCCTTCAGCACTCAGAATCAGGGATGTCAGGGTTAGTGTCAGGTTCATGGGATTTTGAAGTGTTTGGCTGAGGATTTCTTGGAGGGCTGGCTGCAGGTGTTGAAGTCAGAGTTGTGCACTTCCTGAAGAAGGAATCCATTGAGAACTGCACTTTGGGCTGCTTCTTTTCATCGTAAAGCAGCCTGTAACAATTGACTTCGTTATTAACTCCTCTTGCAACTTCAGGGCTGCGCTGCATGTCAGGGTCAGTCTCATCGAAGTAGGAAAGAAAAGCTTCGAGATGTTTGAAAGCTTCAGCCGTGCTTTTCCTTTTAAAGCCCTTGCTGGGTGAACATCTTCCTCCTCTTCATGGCTTCTCTGCTGCTCTATTTGAATGAGGTCCTCATTGCTCAGTTCCTCCCTGTTGGAATCGATCAACTCCTGAATGTCCTCAGGTTCAAGTTCATCAAATCCAATTGTCCTTCCAAGCTCAACAATATTGTCCTGTATTGTCACCACTGGTTCCTCAACCTCTTGGGAATCCTGGACACAGTCTGCCCAATGCTTTTCCCAGACAATTCATTGTTTTGGAGGCACTTCATCCCAGGCACTTGAAACGTTATCTATTGCCTTGTGGATATTATAGGCTTTCCAAAATTCTTTTAGGGTTGGAGCACCCTCTCCTGTGCAGCCCTGACTGCCTGGGCAAATGTTTTCCTTGTGTAATAAGCCTTAAAGCCAGCAATGATACCCTGGCCCATCGGCTGTATGATGGAGGTGGTATTTGGGGGCAGGAAAACAACTTTTACATTATCACTGAGGTCATCAAATGTGGTAGGATGCCCTGGTGCATTGTCTAAAATGAGAAATGCCTTGTGGGACAGATTGTTCTCAGCACAATATTTCTCAACTACAGGACAAAAATAATCCATGAACCAACTCTGAAAAACTGACATTGTCACCCAGGCCTTCTTGTTAGACTTCCAAATGACTGGCAGACTGCTTTTAAGATACCCCCTGAGAGCCCAGGGGTTTCTGAGTGGCATACAAGCAATGGTTTCAATTTAAAATCCCCTGCAGCATTACCACCAAGCAATAAAGTAAGTTGATCCTTGGACACCTTGAAACCTGGCATCGACTTCTCCTCCCTGAAAACATAGGTCCTAGAAGGCATCCTCTTCCAGAAGAGACCTGTCTCATCATCTCATCAGTGTTGAAGACTTGTTGAGGTGTATAACCCCCACTCCTCAATAATTTCCATAAGCTTATTTCTATAGCTGGAAGCTGCTTGGGTATCAGCAGTAGCACCCCCATCTGATCAGAAACATTAAGCAAGTCGCTGCACCTCTTAAATTTTTCAAACCACTCCTTATTTATATAAAAAGGCTCAGGAGCAGACCCCTCAGGCAAATTTTTTCTGTAAATCATCATACAGACTCTTAGCCTTCTTCTGAATAAGCAGCATACTCAAGGGCATATGGCGTTGAGCTGTATCCTCAATCCACACACTTAACAGCCTCTCCATTTCTAACATAATTGAAGCCCTACTCCTATTGACTTTCAAAGCATTCATAGGAGTTATAATTCTACCACATTCTTTTATTTTGTCTTTATTTTTCAACATGGTCGTAACAGTTGACCCAGCTAAATTCAGTGCTCTACAGACCTCATTCTGGCATTCCCCTGCTTCAATTCACTTCAGGACATACAATTTTAGCTCCAGTGTTACACTTTTGTGCTGTTTTTTCTCAGCATTTGCACTCTCAGAGTCAATTGGACATTTCTGACTGTGGCACAACTCAAAAAAGGAAGCAAAACAGTGACACAAGCACAAAAGAGCACAAAGCACGAAAGTTTTTGATGAAGCAAGATGGCGACAAGGCTGTGCACCACCGATGCTCCCTGCCCAGCACCCATGAGTGTTATAACAAGACCTGCGAGCGCTAAGTGAAACCAGGTATCAAAGTGAAATGAGCACTATAGCAAAATAGTGCTATGCGAAACAGCATTAAGTCGGGGTTACCCATATATCTAACCTCAACTTCCCTTGCTGCAACTAGAGCCCATTGCTCCTTGTTCTGTCATCTGCCACCACTGAGAGCCGTCCAGATCCATCCTCTTTGCAACCCCCCTTCAGGTAGTCAAAGGCTACTATTAAATTAAATCCCCACCTCAGTCTCCTCTTCTCTAGACTAAATAAGCCCAGTTCCCTCAGTCCCTCCTCAAAAGCCATGTGCCCCAGCCCCCAAACCATTTATGTAGTCCTCCGCTGGACTCTCTCCAATTTGTCCACATCCTTTCTGTAGTGGGGCACCCAACTGGACTTCTGTGTGTGAGAAGAGATTGACTGACCAGTGAGATCCTTTCAGATATGCAATAGCAAAGACTTATTTGGGTTAATAAAGACAATGCTTAAGTAGCCTTGGATTTAGGGAAGAAGGAGGTCTTCTGGCCAGGCTTTTTCATCCCCTATGGACTTGAGTTGGTTTGCTGAGCTCCAGAGAAGTTCAAATTTAGAAGTCCAAGAGAAAAAGTTTATAAATGTAGAGGTTCAAATTTTCCTCCAGCCTATGCCCAATATTTATAGGCGGCTGGTTTTAATATTTTAATGAATGATCCCTGATTGGTTTGTTTTGGGGTTTTTTTATTTCACTAAAACTTTTGAAACTGGATTAAACCAGATTTTTTGCAGACCAGGAGGGTGTTGACTGGGATTTATATTCTTGAGAAAGCAAAAGGGAGGCTTTCTTATTTTATTTCCCTTCCTATTGTGGAATGCTGTTAGCACTGATTGGTTACTTTTCCACCTTAGTTTATGGCCTGACAGGGCAGCTTTGTTTTCACAACTGATTTAAGCATTTTAACAGAAATGTATTTATTATAGCAAAATAACATTTAACACGTTTGGTTTCATTAATTTTTATTTTGAATTAATTTAAGATGAAGCTACAGTATTGAGTATTTGGTTTATTTGATATATGGGGGCGGGTTTATAGTATTTTCTTTTAGGCCTTGCACTCTGTTTGACTGTGTTTAATTAAACATATGCATAGCTTCCTTGGCTTTGCTGACCAAGCTAATTGCTACATGTGCTAATTTTCATGCTATGGTCCCTTAGGGCACTTATACACAACCAGAGAGGCAGCTCCGATGCACTCTAATTCCAGTGCGTCGGAGCACATTCGATTAATTGAGTCTGCTGAAGCATGGAAATTACTGTGCTCCAGCAGACTCCAGCGTCACATGTATCAGTGCCCCAGTGCTGAAAAATGACGGTGTGGCGCTTTAAACCTAAAGCTTGTTTGATGAGCTTTAGTTCAAAGCACCCTGCTGCCATTTTTCAGCACAGGGACGCTGATACATGTGACGCTCCAGGCACTTTTAATTAGTGTTGCACGCAAAGCTGTGCTAATTAAAGCACCCCCCGCTCCCCCCATCACCATCACACACACACACTTCCCAGAGCATGTCTATAAATGCCCTTAGATACAGGCTTTTGAGGCCTTCTGCTTTAGCCACGCTTCTGCAGCTTTGACTTCAGCCTCCTGAAAATGGCTGGCACTAATGTACGTTAAGCCTGGCACTAACATGCATTAAGCTTGGCACTAACCCGTGGCTTATGCTGCACTGGCCTCTGTACAGCCTACACTTTCTCTCTGCCATTTGTCCTTCACCCCACTGTTGTAGTGGGCAAGGACTTAAAAGATTAAATGCTTGTAAAGCTTCACCTGAACTAAGCTAGTAACTTCACATGAACCAAGCTGGAGGGTGTCAGATAAGGACTAGGAGGGTCAAGAGTCAATCAATAGCTCTCAAATCCAGCAGATGGCCTGAAATGCATGCTGTTTAGGGGACCAAATCTCGTACTTCTGACATGGGTTCAAGTGAAGAATTTGGATAAAACGGCAAGAGGGGAACGTCATAGAGATGTCCTCTGTATCTACTTTGGGTTTTCTCTCAGAAAGGTAAGATATAGTCCTTAGCCCTTACTCAGGCTGAATGTTTAAAAAAATAAAAGGAAGTTGCTTGAATTAAGTAAAGATTTAAGCCACAAATTTAGGATTTAAACCTCAAAATATACCTGCTTCTAGCAGAGATGGTGAAACTAAGGAATGCAGAAGTTATATGACTTTTTAATACTTACAGAACAACCAGATGTCAGTGAACAACAGAAGTACAGGTACTCCGCACTTAACGTCGTCCCAGTTAATGTTGTTTCATTATTACGTCGCTGATCTATTAGAGAACATACTCGGTTAAAGTCGTGCAATGTTCGGTTATAACATTATTTGGCTGCCACCTGCTAGTAGGTAACTACTGTGATGTAACTGGATTCACTTAATATCGTTTCGCTTAGTCTCATTTTTCAAGAACGTAACACTGATGTTAAGCGAGGAGTAGCTATAAAATCTTTAACTTCTTGGTTCATGCATAAGGCCATCCTGACCCTCCAGCATTGTTGCTATGTATTGTATTTATCAGTCAAATCTCTGTAGTTGTATCAGGAACACTCCATTCCCCTGACCCTTGTCTTGTAATTAATGAGTGGATCTCTTTTTACTAGGTCCAGAGAACATTTTCTTCATTCTCCTAGCTGCACATACCAACAGTGCCTTGAACCAGTTCATCACTAAGGGACTGAGGCAGAAAATTGCTAGAAGATCTCTAAACTTAGGTGTTTCTGATATTAAGTTACTCATCTGTACAGTTTCCAGGGCAATAAGACCAATGCAGTCTTCACAGGTATCTGCATCCATACACTGGAGATCTCTGGCCAGGAATAATTTTCATCTATATCTAAAAGATCTTAGAGTGGCAGCGAGAGCAGTAGACGTGGCATCAATCTACTGCCAGGCTGTCTGAAGCCCTGCATGGTACCTCGGGAGCTATACTCTGTTTGTGATTTACAATAGCTCAGTGCTGGGGTTTATGCAGCATTTCACTCTAAATGACCCATTCAGAGAAGACAAACCAAATAACAGTTATGTTTTTGTTGAGGCATTTTACAATACAGTGTGAGTTTAACAGATTGGAAATTATAACAGCCTGTAACATTCTTTAGCTCTGGTGTGACACAAAGGCTAATGCTGCGTTTTGCATATCTCATATTTGTGGCTGCAGCAATTCAAAGAACTTGTGCACTAATTATATGGGATACACAAAGAGTTTGAGTGAAATACACTTACAGCACTTTAGGGATGAAGAAAAACGCAGTAACATAAAGCCAGTGTATTGTAAATCAGACCATAACAGAGCTGGGAACCGCAACATGAGACCTTGAAGTCAGACAGCCATCGTTCTTAAGGTGTTTGCCCCTTAAATGGTATCAATGTATAGCTAAAGCCATCCACCTGCTGACCACAGCTGTATACATGCCATCCTCTAAATATTTGTTCATTTTAATTTTTCACCCAAGCAGTGAAGTGCCCAAAACAAACATACCAAATCAAGGTGATCCACGTTTTCTCCTAGGGCAAAAACCTGAAAAAAAGCAGGTAGTGGAGGAGGAACCCAGAAAGTTTCTTCCCAAAGGTAAAATTTCCAAAGTTGAATGGCTGATAATTTCGACAAAGAAACAGATTCATGCCTCTTGCAAGCTAAGCAGGATACAGCCTGGTAAATGCACAGATGGAAACCTCCCAAGGAAAGCCCATATACTGCATAGTGGTAAGCAGCCATAGACTACTACCTGTAGGATGAGACATTAACCCAGGGACTTCCTGATCAGTCATGGTCATTTAGGAACAGAAGAACCTTGGAGGTAGCATACCCAATATCCTCTCAAAATGACAGCGTAAGAAATTGTAGTCTGCAGATCTGAAATTATCTCGCTTTTTTTTTTTTTTAAATAACTAATTCTTCTCTTATTTTAAACTGATGCTCAGGAACTGTTAGAGGGCTACCATATTTCCCTCGCAAAGCTGATCAAGACTCTTTTTTTTTTTTAAAGGGTTGGCTTTAGAAACTTAGTTCAGCCTGACTTCCAGTTTACTTTTCAATTTTTGAGCTCACATATAACAGATTTTGTTTTCTGCAGGGTTATTCCTTAGCGTTCGTACAGATAAATACAGTCCTTGGTTCAGCTCTGCAATTGGGTACTGTGTCAGCTAAATATTACACACTATGCTGGTGATTATTTGTATTTCTACAGTTGTGTCTGCCATGATTTGATGGAACAAATATCCAGAAGCAAACTCAAAGATTACTTCATTTTTCCTCGTTATACAGCTGCAATATAAACCCCTTGGGAATGGCTCCTGCCATAGTGTTTATCTGTATTTAATAGAAAATTAAATAATTGAAATGTTATCACCTGTGTATCTTGTCTTCTATGAAAGTTAAAGGGAGTTAAGTTTGCTTTGGAGTTTTGCTGCCCTAGAGAAACAGAAAACTATTTTGAGTAACCCTACACGGGATCAGAAAGTGCAGAATTTTTAATGGATTTTTCACCAAATGAAAAATTGAAGATTTCACTTCCCATCAGACAAGGAAATCAAGTGAGGCACGCACTTCTTGTGCATCAGTTGTAGCAACATTATCGAGATCTTATCAGTATAACAGATATTACTGGAAAGGATGCCATGTATGGCTATCTGGACAGATAGATAAGCATAGGAGAGAAGTCAGGTACCTGGAATAGTTAAGAGGCAGGGAGTGGGCATCATATGTGTTAAAATAGGAGATGTAAGCAAGTGTTTTGCTCTACAGGGTACATGTTATTTCCATATTGTCTTTTGGGGCTTGAACCTACAAGATGCCATTCTTTTTAGGTTTTTTGTTTTTTGGGGGGGGAAGAGGCTCTCTGCTTCCACAGAAAAAATACAGATATTGCCATTGAAATACACAGCTTCTGCCAATCAGGATGGCAGTAGTACTTGGCGTCGTCAAAGATGCCCTAAGTACTCGTAGGTCAACTTCTGTAGAGTCTTGCTACATTGATTGCCTATAGTTACAGTGAACAATGATGCCTTCCTCTGGCATAACAACTAATGCAGACAGAATCCTATGCTTGGCAATACCTGGCAATATGCAGGCAATAATGTGTCTATTATCAGTGGGTAACACTTGAATAAAATGCCTTTCTCCCAAAATAGTGTCTCCAGAAATTGGTATTGTATTGAACAGCCTAAGAAGAAAATATCTGGTGCTGAAATATTCTTTCCAGATAGGATACGGCATTGTCAAGGCATCCTCTAGAAATGTTGAAAGATAATGAATCATTTACCATCATCCCAAAGAAAGCAAGCAAGTTGAACAGCTCAATATTGTACCTAACCTCCACCCAGCTAGGTGCTTAGAACTGGGAAGTAACATCTGAATTATTGCTGGAAAGGATACCAATGTCATCTCAATGCATTACTTATATGACATTATGTTTATAGCATTTGGACAAGCTGTGAGGAAGCAGCTCACTGACATTTCCAGCATCAGAAAAGGGCAGGTCCAGAGTTTATTCAAGCTAAGTCTTTAATCTGTCATTGTACACTGCTCGCGTTTGCAGACATTCAAAGCAGTGACCTTACAAACCTACCCTATCTGCATCATCCCTCTGGACACGTGTAGGTTGTGTAGATATTTATAGAGCAGCAGAGCATTATGCAAAAAGACGGGGGATCAAAGGGTGCAAATAAGTCCCAAGCACCGCAAGAAGAAGGGAGACTACATTACAAACCCAGCCCCTTGAGAATGAGAAATGCAAAGAGTAGGGCAAAATGTAATGGAAAGAAAAAACATAAGCCCTGGATCATTATAATAGAGCAAGAAAGCAAACAGTGTCAGATCCAGGGGGTAAGCTAAAAGTGTGGAGAAAGTGATTGCGTGAGAAAAATGCTGACAACCCTAAAATGAAAATGAAAGAAAAAAATTGCAACCCAAATCCAAAGCAGAAGGAGCAAATGTGTTGCAAGCCCCAAATCAGCATTCAGTTTCTGACAGAACGCGCCAGCAGAGGCTAGGCTGAACAAAAGTGCCTCTGGCAATGGCAGCTCAAGCTTCAGTGACAACATGCAGCTGGGAAATAAACTAATGGCTTTATTAGGCAAAGACACAAACATTTTATACAAATAAAGGACAGAGGCCTAAGTTCAGGCTGAGTACAGAGCCTAAAGGAAGGACAAACATGGATATTTCATGGGGTTAATGGAGCTTAGGGTCTTAGCAAAGTAGGGCGGGAAGGGACCTCACAAGGTCAGGATGTCCAGCCCCCTGCTCAAGTCAGGATCATCCCTGACTAAACCATCCCAGCCAAGTGTTGTTGGTCCAACCTCCTCTTCACAATTTCCAAAGATGGAGAGTCCACAATTTCTCTTGGCAGCCTGCTCCAATGCTTGACCACCCTCATAGTCAGATTCCTCCTAATCTCCAATCTAAAGTTCCTCTTCTGCAGCTCCATTCTCTGCATAATTGCCCTTCAGGATCTTATCTCCAGTCCAAGTTGCATTGGCAATGGCCACAGGTCCATCATAATGTTCTATATGAATCTGGGCACTAATATTAAAAGTGGTCCTAGAACTTTTATTGAGTCTGCTGGACTTTGGGTCCTTATTCCTTACTCTGGCATTTGAATACGGTCAAACAGAGGAATAGTGCAGTGGTCAAACTGCATTTGAATACGGTCAAACCACAACATCACGTGGTTGTTTTAACAAGAACTGGCCAAATCAGGAAAGTCAAAATTCACATGTGATATAGCCATTAAGTTCCACAAAGGCTATTATCCCCTTATTACTTTCCGGGTGCTCACCTGGATGATGGCTACAAGTGATCAGAACTTGAGTTTTATTTTTCATATGAAAACAGCACCTGCCTGAGCACAGTATCCCCAACACCACACTTGGTTCAGGGCAGTCTCAGAGGGAAGTACATCCCCTACTCACTTTCTCCAAGGCCGAACCCAGAGAGGGGTAGTCAACGGAAGTAAATCATTATGGCACTCCATGACCAGTGACGTCCCCCAAGGCTCTGCCCTTGGACCTGTTCTCTTTAATGTCTTTATCAATGATGTGGATACTGGTGTCAGAAGTGGACTGGCCAAGTTTGCCAATGACACTAAACTTTGGGATAGTGTGTCCACACCTGAGGATAGGCTGGTGATCCAGGCTGACTTGGATAGGCTTAAAAAGTGGGCAGATACAAACCTAATGGCATTTAATAACAACAAATGCAACGTACTCCACTTTGGGGGGAAAAAACGCAGCACACTTAT